AATCAAACAAACAAAAAAGCAAGCAAACAAACAAACAGCAAACAAACAAACAAACACACAAACAAACAAACAAACACACAAACAACAAACAAACACACAAACAAACAAACAAACAAACAAACAAACAAACAAACAAACAATCAATCAATCAAACAAACAAACAAACAAACAAACAAACACACAAACGACAAACAAACAAAAAAACAAACAAACAAACAAACAAACAAGCAAAACAAACAAAACAAACAAACAAACAAACAAACAAACAAACAAACAAACAAACAAACACACACACAAAACAAACAACCAAACAAACACACAACCAACCAACCAACCAACCAACCAACCAACCAACCAACCAAGCAATCAAACAAACAAACAAACAAACAAACAAACAACAACAAGCACAAAACTAGCCACACCAAAAACACAATCAAACAAACACACAACCAACCAAGCAATCAAGCAAACAAGCAAAGAAAGAACAAAACAAACACAACCACACACACACACCAACCAGCAAACAAACATTGAACCAAACCAACAAAAAGAAACACACGCACACAAACAAAACAACCAACCAACCAACAACCAACCAAGCAAGCATTCAACCAACCAACCAACCAACCAACCAACCAACCAACCAACCAACCAACCAACCAAGCAAACCAACAAAACCAACCAAGCATACCAACAAACAAATACACACACAACAAACAGGCAAGCAGCAAGCAAGCAAGCAAGCAAGCAAGCAAGCAAGCAAGCAAGCAAGCAAGCAGGCAGGCAGGCAGGCAGGCAAGCAAGCAAGCAAGCAAGCAAGCAAGCAAGCAAGAAGCAAGCAAATCAAGCCACGGACAACACGCCAGCAAGGAAACCAAACAACACAACATAGCACAACACAGGACGCACCACACAACCAAACAAAAGCAAGGACACACCAAGATGCACAAGCAGGCAAAAACAGAGACCAACACACAAATTCAACAAACACAAACACACACAAACAAACAACCCATCAGCGGCTTGCGAAGACACGGTGCTGCCCAGGACCATGTTGTAGGTCATGCATATTACCTCGAACGGCTCGGGCGGTTCGCTCCCACAGGACCAAAATGCTGCACCAGTTGGTCGCTGGTTTATCCCAGTCACACGAATTCATCCATAGCAACTGCCGATCGGCGTGGAGGTTGTCTATCCACAGTAGCATGCCGTGGCGCACTTTTGGGCTTGGCACAAAAGGACTTCAAACCAAGGTGGTTCACGTATCAAAGAACTCAGTTTGCCTGCTGGAAGTCAGCACGAAATTGGGCCAGACTTGGACTTTGCGAAAGTCCACTTGCAGGTTCAAAGGTAAAGCACAACCAAACGGGCACACAGTGAAACAGTTAGCTTCTGAGTCTGCCATGGAACAGTTGGAGAAATCCACCTGCGGCCTAGGTTGTCCAAATATGCGGGGGATAGGGGATGCGGGAGGGATTACACTACTCACTTCCTCAGTTGATTTGTCAGAAGCAGTCCAGACTTTTTGTTCACCACCACAATGATCGTTCCAAAATAGTGTTCAAGTCCAGAAACTAGAAGTGAGATTCTGAAACTTGCTCTTCCAAGGAGCAATGCCCAGGACAAAGCAAATGCATACCACCCAGCGCAGGAAGTTCAGCTGCCGCCGATCCAGGTTGGGCCGGTTTCTCCTTAGCACCATGGACATGTGCGTCAAGTGCCACCTAGGAGCCAACAAGTCGATTTCTTTCGAACTGCCTGGTGCCAACGAAAAGCCTTTTTCCGGGATTTGATCCATTCTTATTAGGAACTAATAGACATCTAATCGTTGAAGTCTCTAGTCTTCTTCAAGCAACGTTCATTTCATCTAACAGCCATGTCCCCTGGTTTGGTGGACGTGTTCCTTTACTGCCAATGCCTGATTCGATCGCTTGCCATAAGGTTGCGCTTGGGGTCCTGACCCACCAACCAACAGGTAAAAGGGCGCTTCCCAAAAGCACGTGTAAACAGAGTGCCAACGAAAGCAGCTTGCCTTTATTGTCTAGCTTCGATTAAACAATTTTCCACAACCCAAAAACGGAAGACATGATGGTTTTTAAGGCAAGTCCACCCGACGAGGGAACACCTGTTGTTCTTTGAAGATTCACTTCTTCAGCTTCACCCACTCCGCTCTCGTTCGGCGGTTCGGCAGTTCGTCGCCTTTTGCGGGAGCCATCGAAAGGTCGCCTTTTGCGGATCTTTTGAGGGCGAACCCACCGGAAGGGCTCCTGACATATCCCCCTTTGAGCATCCACCCCACAAGTGAGTCTTAAATGCTGGCAACCAAAAGGGACTGGCGAAACCACCGGAAAAAAAGTACACGGAGCCCTGTGACATTTTCGAGGTGAGACCCACCAACCAAAGATAGACACGTTGTTTATGGCAGGTAAACCTACCAACAGAAGCCATGCATGTTAAACGTGAGAACAATCTCCACCACCAAAGCAGGAAAAAGACATGCTTTTGTTTTGTGGAGAACCCACACCCAAGCCAAAACAACAACAGCAGTGCTCACGGTGAAAACTCCTAATCTGCAGATCATGGACATTATTGCCTTAAAAAACTTCGGATTGGTTGTCAACAACCAACCCGGTGGATGCACAAAATGTGTTTCGCACCATTTGGGGTTGGTGGTTGATCCCAGTATATTACTTCATCATTCCAAAGTGTTGCGAAATGGATTGCATCCACACACACATAATCAAGAGGTTGATCCTTACTAGCCAAGTAGTTGGTCCTTTGACCATGGTCCATATGATCATGCGTTGAAGGATACGGAAGTAGCGAGTTCCCTGGTTTTGCTTAAAAATTAGAGAGGCCCCATGGCGCACACAAAGTATCCTTTTTCCATCTGCATTGAGCCCTGACTAATACCCGTCCTCTCCCCCTGACCGCCAGCCAATTCTATTTGAAAAGGGGTGGCCAGCTATTGCCGATACTTCTACCAACACTAATTTCCTTCATTGTCTTAAGGATTGCTTTTCCACCAACTAAACCAGAAACACTACAGCTAGCCGGAAACAGCGATTTTCTTATTGTCTAAGACGTCAAGGTTTGACCTTGGATAACCCCCCCTTCAAGGCCAGTCCCCCCATAATAATACAAAACCCCCTTGGTAATTTTGCGCAAACAAGGGGGGGGAAGGGGGGGGGGTAATCATATTACTAGTCAGGGGTAAACATTACATACCCGTGGGAGGGTACCTGAAAAAGTACTTGGTCAAGGCAACCCCTGTCAGGGAAGGAGTGTGATTCGTCTGTTGACCATAGGATCCATCCCTGGAAACCAGGCGATGGGTTTGCAGGGTTGGAGGGACGGATTTTTAGGGCTCCAACTGCGACCGAAGTGCAGCAACTCTTTGAACGTCTGCGGCTTCATGGCGCATGGTACGTGTCCACTTGCCGGGCAAAAGCTCCGAGGGCAAAACCCCGGGTTTGGAGCTGCTGATTGGACCGAGGTGAACTTGCTTGAAAGGGAAACCTGTTGGTAACAACCATGACCACCTCGAGAATTTGTCAGTTTAAGGCAAAAGCTTGAACAGGTCAGCAAAGTCTGGTGGAAGTCTCCGATTGGCTGGTGTCGAAGCTGCTGCTCTGTCTCAATGGCTAACCCAGGAGTGCCATAAAGCTCTAAGCTCGAAGTGTGAGAGCCTTAGGCCGTGACAAAGGCATGGAGGGCTGGCCGTGCCATCATGTATGACTTCATCCGCTGGAAGCCGAATCTTGTCGGTCAGCGAGAAGATCAACATGACACACACACACATACACACCGACACAAACAAACGCAAAGACACAAACACAAACACGAACACCAACAGAAACATAAACATTAAGATAAACATTAATATACACACACCATGTGAATGCAATACCGATTTAGAACCATCCTGAATGGGCCAAACCAGACCTACCACAGGACCCTCATGGCTCAGCTCACGGCCCTTGGCACGGTATGGCGGAGTATGGCCAATATGGCTCTCTAGAAACCAGTTTGGATGTGGCTTTTGTAGATCCGCCTTTGTAGGATGTTAAAAACATACTATATAAAGTATTACGTACTAAAAATGGACCAACCGCGAAAACCAAGCGAGTTCCACGAAAAGCGCATCCAAACCTTTTTCGAGAGGCTCCCCCTGCCAAGGCTCCATAGCAAATGAGTGAACATTCTCAAACGTCACACCCCCCGAATGTCGCAAACACTTGTTGAACAAAGCGTAGAAAACAAAGGAAGCACTGACATGCGGCCAAGAGTGGATTCCTTTTTGCGGCGATCAGTGAGGCCTCTGAAGAAGGAAAAAACATGCGTTCCTGGACTGTGAAACGCCTACACTGTGTGTTAGCTTGAGAGCCCCAAAGGTCCAAGGCTGAGGTGGACTCAACAAGTCAATGACATTGAACAAACTCACACGTTCTGAGCTCCACCTCAGGTTGCACGAACACATTTATACACACGTTGATTCAAACAAATGAGGTTGACTCCGGCAACTCAGAATCAGACACAAAACACCTCGTCTTCCAATCCCAGGCCAAAGCAACGTGCTTGGTTCAAACGGGCCCCACAGATTGCTTCAACATGCGCCTGTTGGTTGCAAATCGCGCCGGGGAACATGCTAGCGATCCCGAGCATGAGACAAGCATGGATTTAGGGGTTACAGTCAACGATTGGGGACGCCTCTTTGGTTTTCCTTTAAATCATCTCATTTTTGACATGTGGGTTTGTCTCAAAGCAAGGGAACCCCCAGTTGCTTGTGCATTCCTCTCTCGATGTTTTTCAAAAAAGCCCAAAAGGGTCATAGAAACCAGCGAACCAGGGATTTTCTACAGGGACATGTTCAACAGAAAATTGGCCAACAACCCCCAAATCACAAGGACTCCACGTAGAATCCCCGGGTTTCGTTTCGACGCGCCTTTGTTTCATAAGACCTGCCTGTCGAAACGCATGCAACGCACATCCGGCATGGCCTCGCTGGAGGGCGGGATCTCGGGCATCTTCCTTCGGGTGTTGTGAGTCACCCATGGGAGCCATGGCCTTTATCTGGGCTGATCAAAATGGGTTGAATTGGCCAATCCTGATCAATCCTAATCAATGGAGGGTTGTTCCCAATGGAGGGCTTAATCCCAGGGAAGCCGCTGCCAAGAAAACCCCGTGTAACCCAAGCTAGGGATGAAGGATTACCTTTGAACAGCCCAGTTTAAGACGGTGCTGCTGTGGACAAAATCCAATTCGCACCAGGTAGGTGAGTCATGATCAAAACCCGGAAGTAGTAAAATGGTCTAAATACCCAGAACCATGCTTCAAGAAAATGAGAAGGCGGAGATCCGCACCCATTTACGGCTGGGATTGTCCCTCTCCAATTTCCCCGGTTTTCATTGTGACTCGTGCTGACCTCAGATTAATAAACCCGTCCAGTGGGTGGTTGCAACATCTTGAACCACGGGACCTCAATTCAGGAACTCCCAAGGGGTCTATCTTTGGGCCCGACCTACCCCCGCTTGCCAACCAGTCACACCTCCCGAACGACAAGCCATCTTTGGGTTAAGGGAGAAAGGGTAGGACCCAGGAAGAAGGAACACCCCTTTTCGGGGGTCGGACTGGTTGGGGTATTTTAAGACCCCCAAAATCTTAGGCGCAACATGTGGCTCGTCAGTTTTTTGGAATCGGACCCCTCAACCGTGGGATTTCAGCTTTCCGGAGCCATGACATCCAGGCCCTAGCGGCGGTGGAAGCCTCCTACCCGGTGGCTGTCGAAGCTACCTGAGTTAAAACCCAAAAAAAACGGCAAACACGTGATTTTGGGCCATGTTTAGACCGTAAAATGTACAATGATTTCAAAAAGAAAAGACATCCCCGATGTGCAACATTGGTTTGTGTTCATGTTTGTGGAACATTTTGGTTCTTAGTAGCCCCAAAGCAACAGTAGACCATCGAGCATATTGTGAGGTCCTTGAAGACGGCAGGGCTCACTCTATTTCCCCCTCCAACGTCACTCCAAGAACCCCTCATAAGTTGGTTGCCAAAAGCTGCCGGTCATGATGGGAAGCCCTCTGCCAGGATGATACTCTCGCGCACCCGTCTCTCCCACAGCGAGCACGACAAAGAGCGGACCAGCTCAACCAGGGTCACAGCACTCGCCCCGACTCGCGTCCACCTGATTCCTTCCTCCGACGGCAAACTCCATCGCCAGCTGCTCATCTACAAGTGGCAACCGAAAGGTGCAATGGACACCAGCGTGAAATGGGAAATGTGGATGCACGGAATCCTGCACCGCCTCAGACACCCTGCCATGATGCTTCCTCTGTAAATACCAACAGTTATGGTTTCCACCATGCTTTCATTTCGTGGTGCGAAATGGAGTTCGCAACCATCCACTGGGAGATTTCGCCATGTTTTCCTTTGACCCAAGGTGAAAAGGGCAGCCCTCTCAGCTGAAACAACTGTTTTTTTTCTTGCTTGGGGACCCCCGGGGCCCAGAGAGGTGGATACTCCTTTTGCTTCAGCCAACCAAATTGTGAACCACATGGGTTACATGGCGGCACGGATGTTGAAGTGTTGGTGAGTTGGAATTCACATTGCCATGCAAAACCTATGTCACATTGCGGTACCACAAAACATGATGCTAGTAAACCAACCATACTGAACCACAAACACATCGCGAATCGCGGTACATGAAAGGGTTTCCCCTGTCCCACTTCCTGAGCACTTGGGAAGACTACTAAAATAGGGTGCACGCCCAAAATGATCAAGAAGTCCAAAACGGAACTCAGGGATCACGTCGCCCCCCAAGTGGGTTGGATTGCTGGTTTGGAATTGGATTTTAAGCCCTGGGTTCTTGTAGAGGGTAAGTGGGAAGCCGCTTCGGAACCACCAAACCACCAATCCAAGCCACCAACGTCAGTGAAGCTGAAGGGAATGAGCTGTTCCCTTCCCGTCCCCATTGCCTGCCCTCGGTGCCAAAACAGCGAACGGATTGCAGGGCGATGGTCGACTCCTTCGGGAGCTTGGACCAGATCCCAATGGATGTCGGGGACAAAACGGCACGTATTTGTTTGGTTCATTTCAAAGGGACATCCTTTCCCCAAAAGAACACATGCGTGCCACTGCCAGTTTTCAGTTTGGTTGAATTTAAAGGTGGGGGTTTTCGTTGAAACTCGGGTTCCCCTAACCTGTCAAACTGTGATAAGTTCTAGGTGGCGGGTTGTAACAAAAAAAATGGCTTTTGTGTTGAGACCATGATGCTATTGTGTGGTGCCTCCTTTTGGAGGTCCCAAAGGGGTCCATAGTTTTGAGAACCCAAGTGAGCCTGGAGCCAAATGGTGTGAACCCCTTCACAAACCACTCTCTTCTTGCGTGGATGGGCCAAAGTCCAAACTTTTTCTTCACTCAAATGGTCCCCCCTTCCGAAAAGAAGGCCGCAAGACAAGGAAAACGGTAGTAGCAATGGTTGTAGTGCTAATCTAAAGTGTATGGGGAATGGCTTACTCCAATCCAAAAAACTCAAAGGCCTGACCATCCTTTGCTTTGTTCTCGGTATTTTGCCTGGAGTTTGAATGGATCTCAGTTGGGGATTCATGAGCGCGGCTGAATCTTAAGGGACCCTGATCCATCCTCTTCGTAGAGATCCTGGGAGACTCTCCAAAACCCACGCTTTCATTTTCAGCGTAGAATCCTGGAAAGGCTTGAGAACCCATGCATTTGGGCCATTTGGGTGTCCTTTTGGAAGCTCGACCCTCGAGAAAAGTTGAAGGCTCCGGTCCAGAGCTTGACCAGTCAAGTCGGGGGTGATGTTGCGCAAAGGGGCATTGTACTTAGGAAGTGGGTCATGACCATGTTTGTGACCCACTTACCATGGGTATAAGTCTCCTAAGTTAATAACGCGGCTTTCGAACCGCTTCCTGAGTGCTCCTATAATAAGTGGGGTGTCAGGATTTGCTTCACCACAAATCAAAGAGGACATTGCAGGCACCCCCAACATGACAACCCCTGCAAAGGGGAGCAGCTCTCATCGATCCGACCTCCGAGCTCCGCATCTTTTGACTCTCACAAGGCGCCAATGTAGGGCGCCGTGTCCACAGCAAGCTTCAGGAAAGAGGAGGCCCAGTTCACAACTGTCTGGTTGTAGTCTGCCTGGCACGTGTCTGCCTTTTGACATCCGAAGCCTTTTTTCTGGGAAGCACGGGTACTAACTGACCAGATCATGGAATCAGCTTGGCCTGCAAAAACGACGTACGCTTTTTGGCTCAATCATGATACGTCACAAACCGAACTCAATCGGGTGTAAAGGTTGGTGGCATTCTTGCTTGCTTGCTGTGTTTCCCTGCTTGCCGGAGCACAGTGGAAAAAACATCCCTGCTAAGGTGAGAAAACCAAAACGTTAAAATAGCTCACCCCCCTCCTCCCAAACACTCCCCTCCCCCAATCCCTGCCAAGCCCCCGAATCACGCACAAACTCCCGCGCCAACCCTCCTCCCAGCCAAACCTCACCCCAAAACCCTGCCCCCCCCCCTCCCCCAAACACCCCCCTGCCTCCGTGCCGGGGTTGAAATTCCCGAAGCACGCGTCGGCCTTCGCAGCGTCCAGCTCGGTTCCCATGAAATCCGAGTGGAGCCCCTCGTAGAGCCCCGCCAGGGAGATCTCGCCGGAGGCGCCTCAGGGGTGACTTGAGTCATCCAAAAACGGTCCAATTGTGAGGATGGCCGACTCTCAAAACCGACATGCAATTCCATGGTTGCCAGTTTTGAAGTCATTTCCCAAGCCGGCTCCAGGGAAAGGAACCCCACATTGCCCCACATGGTTGAAAAGAGGGTAACGCCGAGGTCCAAAAACTCGAAAAGGGATTGTGAAACACATTCGCGAAGGGAAAGCTGAGCCAATAACAAAATATGATCATGTTGCGTGGTCAGAAAGATGAAGAGTACAAGCTCAGAATAAACACCAGAAAATAATCACCTTTACTACTGTGGTCACGGGATTTCCCCTTCAAATGCTGCAATATTTGCTGGTGGTTTCCGCTCAAACTGTTACTATTGGCGGTTCCAACAAGGGCAATGGAGGAAACCCTGTGCAAAAAGGTCAACCAACTCAGCAAGCGGGCGGGACCCTTTTCTGGCACCCTTGGATCTCGTGTGAACCTTGAGACAAATGATATTGAAAACAAGTCCAGCCTCGTAAGGCACGCAGCTTCCGCGGGTCCCTCCAAACGCTTGCTTGGTGTGCAGTTAAGGGTCTGACCAAATATACAACGCATCAGTGTCCTTGTGGCTTCAGTATTCCTTGAGGGGAAATCATCCACCCCTGGGTTTAAGTCTTGGATTCAAATAGCGGTCTGTGTGTGGGCCTGGAAAATTAGAGAACCGCCAATTTTCTGGATCTGTCATGCATCCTTATGCAAACGACAAAGTCCTCTGGACAAACATCCCAACTAATGTATGTCATGTTCTAGAAGAGGTACACATTGTACTATCACTTGAATAAACAAACTATGCAAGGCGTAATTGGGCAAGATCATGCAATGGATTCACGAGTGCAAACTATAAGGGTATCTAAAGCTCATGTGTCAGATGAGAGGAAATCAAAGTGTTTGCTGGGTAGGATAAATGGGAAAACAAATTCAAACCGCTATTAACATATAGTTCAAACTGTGAACAAACATATTTTTTCTAAATTTTAGTTGGATCTCCACCAGGATTATGTAGGAGGTGCGGAAGGTTTGGCGCGCAACTCAGTGATTCCATTTCCCTGTAACCAGGGAACCAGCCTGTAACAAAAGGGACACTGGGTACATATCCAGCACTTTTGAGGTGGTTCTGACTCTTAAACAAATATGGTGCCATGCTCGTTTCTCAACAGCTCTTGCTCTTTGGCGTCGCCCAAATCAGCTCCGGGGTGGTTCCAAGTCAAAAAAACTCATAGCTCCGGGAGCCGAGGGATTTCGTCCAAGTAGCCCTGCAGCAAAGAGACCATGGCCACCTTCTCCTCCCACCTGACGGGCGTGGGGCGTGGCGTCAAGCGAATGCTTCGCCCACCGGGGTGCTTGCAGCACTTTGTGCTTGTTCTTCAGAGGGCACCCTTTTCAGCCTCACGAAAAAGGAGTGAACATGCTGAGGGGTGTTCAAAAAAAGTGGTGTTGGGGGAGTGGGAAACCATGTAGAGGGCAACGTGTTGTTACTTGATATTCGTGATCGTCGTTTGCCCTCCTTTTCGGTGTTCAAGATCTTCGGCTATTGTACGGCTACCTAGAAATCCTGTGGTCTTCCTGCAGTCTTGCCATAGTCTTCCCCAAGGACCCATTTCTGGACCCTAGGATCCCTTGTCAATGGCAACCACGGAACTCCGAAAACCCTCTCTGTTAAAGGGGCCCTGTTTTTCCGGTTCGTGAATCGATTTTGGGGCGTGGCTTTCAGCGCCCAAAAATGCAAACGATGAGGTTCCAAGATGCTTGTAAAAGGTAAAGGCTTCATTAAAAACCAAAAGGGAAGGTAGTAGCACTCGTTGATATCATTTTTGGGGTTTCCACTTACTTCATTAACATCATTCTTGGGGTTTCGTTTTTGGGTAAGAGGCCTTTTGGGGTTTTGGGGGCTAATGTTGACCCAGGATCAAGAAACCCGTCCCAGTATTAGGGGGGTGTTCCCTCCAAAAGTGGCCTGAATCCCCACTAAAAGGGGACACCCCCCTATTAATCAACCAGGGGTTTATTAATGCGGGTAACATTACTCCTGTAACAGCCCCGAAAACACGTCTACAGGGCGACGCCGGCGAGGCGACGAGAACCAGCATCGCTCCTGGCGCGCAGGGAGTCCCCCTCGATGGGGTTGGCATAAATCTCCCAGGCGAAGGAGAAGGGCGTCTTCAGGTTGTCGTAGACCCAATCGAAGCCTCAGCTGAGCCATAATCAAAACCCGGTATTCAAATAGTCGACCCAGAACCATGTAAAGAATTAAGAAGGTGGCCGCAGCTATTTATGGTTGGGACTAACCTTCCTCTACCCGGGTTTTGATCGTGGCTCGGCCGCTTCGAGCATTTGTTTAGCTGGTGCACAAGCACGGTTGCAGCCGCGAAAACTCAGTTGGAACCCCTAGAATCATGATGATCACCTAGGTCAAACTGGAAAGTTATATCTGCCAACGAAAAAGAACGCCAACATGTTCATGTTGTGCGGCTTCAAGTCCTATTTTCGGAAACACTCATATTCCTCAATCCGACTTGCCAACTTCTGTGTGCGTCCAGGGGGGTGCCTGACAGATCGGCAAAAGGGCCTTCCCGTCCTGCATGCAAATAGAACCCAAATTAATATCTGAGGGGGTTCTCCAAAGACCTGGCCAGAAAAGTAGACAATCAGAGGTCACTGGACTTCCCCAATGAAAAGTTACAAATAACGTGGTGTCCATTGAAACTGCCACTTTTGGAGGTTCCCCCGATACCAATTGCCCCGGATTCGTGTTCAAATTCAAACGAGCATTTAGCGAGTGTTCGTTGGTGGAGATGTGAATTGAGTATACAGTATACGCTACACAACACTGTGTTTTACGGTGTTTTCTGACCATGGTAGTGTTTGGACTAGCGAAAAGACAAGTGTTGGACCTTTGGATTCTTTCCTTATAAATTCCACTTAATATGTTTTATCACATTCGACCCAATTTCTGATTGAAAATCAATGAAGCTTAAGAAGGACATACTCCAGCCAAGATTTCGATATAGATTCGAACTTACTATATCAAATTAAATTGTACAAACGATTTCCTGTCCAATAGAACATTGTACTTAAAATTCAATCACTTTCAGAACTAGAGTTAGATTAATAGATGGTCTAGTCCTAGTTTGGTCCTAGTCCTAGTTGGGAGATCCGTGGTTCTAGGCCTACTATCGTCCTAGCTTACTGAAATAAATAGAACGTACAAAGGACAATACAAACGAAGTTCCTTATGAATTGTAGCTAATATATTAATCAAGTTCTATGCAACTGCTAACTGAACAGCAGAAGAAAAACAT